CTCGTAACTTTTCATTACAATCGGACGACGACGACTTCCGCTGCTACTGCTGCTACTGCTACTGCTACTGCTACTGCTACTGCTACTGCTACTGCTACTACTACTACTACTACTACTACATCATCATCATACTACTACTACTACTACTACTACTACTACTACTACTACACGACGACGACGACTACTACTACTACTACACAGATGGTCATGACTTCTGCTGACTAGCTGGCGACGCCACGACAAGGTTTCTCATGCTTAGGATGCATTGCTAAGCCGCGTCACCGATTCAACAGCCTCAACGATTCAGAAGTGAGGAAAGTTGCTTCAAGTCCCATAGAGAATCTCTTTCACGAAACAGTAGCCTTGGCAGAACGCACGTGATCACGGCAAGTGACATTGAGATGGAGAAGTCATACCCCTGGCCGTGATAAAGAACACCCAAAACGACTGGAGGACTGGAGGAAACATGCCGGCATGGCTAGTGGGAGCAGACCCAATGTCCTCGAAGACTCCTGCGGATTGCGAAACGTGCAGAACCTCCCAGAAGAGCAGAGAGCAGCTCTGTCTGACGATCAGCGAAGTGCGCTGCATGGCATAAGGAGGCTTTTGGCAGAGAGCGGAGAGCAGTGTTCAGGCACACAGTCTCGGTGTCTCGGTGTGTGCCGTGTCATTGTGGAAACTGCTCGCTAAGCCCTAAGTTGCAATGACTGGGCTGATCAAGAAGATGCAAGTCCAACAGACACTGTCGCTGGCAATTCCCAAACCCCGGTGTCCGCGGACTTTGCACAGAAAATCATCGTCGGACTGGCGCTGCGCCTGAGCAGTGGTTTGCTTCACTATGAAGTTGGGGGTGGCGGCGTTTGCACCGGTCAGCTTACGAAGGCATTTCCGTAGCCAAGTTCATACCGATGATAGGCCCAAAGAATTAGGGCTTTGACTTTGCTTATCGGGAACCTTAGAAGGAAAGTACTCTTCAACTACTCTCAATGCCTGCATCCCGGCCTCGCGTCGAAAGGCAGCGAGCAGCCGCTCCTGGGGCCAGGAACTTATTCCTCATACGCCCCGCCTGAACTACAGCGGCAATCAGAACAGCGATGTGCGTGGGTAGGCAGGTACTGAATAATTCTTATGCATGATTATGCTACATGACATGCAGATACCGGTCTACCCGGGCTCTGTGAGACTACTCGGGGGGCTGGGGATTCAGATGAGCATCCAGGAATCTAAAGAAGCACATGTCTTCTGACTCTTCAGACCCTGGAAACAAGTAACAGGTCGCTTGCGGACCTGGAGAGCTGCGAAGAGAACCGAGGCGGCGGAGGGAATGTAGGCCCTGCACGGCGAATGAGTGGAACTTTGGAGTTGCGGTACACGACCCTGAGTCCCAAGTCCCTGCCCGGCAAAACTTGGAGTGCCCTGAAACGGAAAGCTCTTCGACAGTTTAGAATTCGAAGCTCGAGACCCTGCCCTCGCTCGGGCAGGCCCTGTCAGTTCCTGAGGCGAGTGATTTCAGACAGTTTAATGTGCCAGCTTTCAAGGTTGTATGGCCCTCTTAGCCGTAGTGCACAAGATATCCCACCACCCGCTGTCCGTGGCCTTATCAGCGCTGCAACCAGGGGCAGCTCCTGAAGACACCTCGGCATCGAGGCCGTGGCAACGGTCGAAAGCACACAGGGTTCACTGGCGGTTCGTCGCTGCACTTGGCAGAGAGGGGCTGTGTCGACGTTCATGCAACAAACACTCCAACCTCGGTTCAAGGCTGCTGTACGAAAATGCACGGGCACCTGGGGGCCACACCGCTCTTCAAATGCGATCTTGCGCGATGAGCCGAAGGCCTTTATGGAATCGACGAACGAGATGCTCGCTGGCACTGCTCCTACTCCGACGTTCTTCTTCCGCTGCCCACTCCTCCTACAGGAGCTACAGCATCGACAATGTTGACGACTGGGGACGAGAATCTGAGCGCTGTTTAATCGGTGGGCTGAGCTCGAGATTCCTCAACAGGCTGCGGAAACGCTTTTCTGAGTGGCGCATTCTGACATCGAAACAGACGCATGCCGTCACGTTGGTGACGATGCGAAAGTCGTGTTTCCCGGTCTCTGCCGGGCCAAGCAACATGGTGCGACACATGACTTTCATGCCCTTGTCAGCACAAAGCTATGGTCACGAAAACCTTAAACAAGTTGCGACATACAGGGTGGCACAGAGTGGAAAATCGCCTCTGCGAACATGCTCACGTCGGACGTTTCGCAAAGGCGACAGCTGCACATAAACGCCAGAGTAGGTCGTTCTCAACCATGCCCTTGTAGCAGTGCTTCCCACTATCAAGAAGCGTGCACAGGTGCAGAGTACCGGCTGTACAGAGGGTCTCGAAATGGTACACAGGATGAAGTATGGCTGTCCATACACACCCTGTGCATGTTAAAGGCCGGAAACTGGCGGCCGGCTGTACAAGTACACTCCAACATCACAGTCGCTCAAAAAAGCCATATCTTCGCACGTTTTCTGGCAATGGCTGGATGACACCAGCGAAGCATTGGCCAGCTAGGCAAAAAAGGCAAAATATGGCAGGATACGTGCAACGGGCCAAAAGCCCACCGCAAACATTCAGGCAGGGCCTCAACTGCTTCATATTACTATACAATCATCTTCAGTAACATAAAGGCCAAGCACGCCGACGGGAAGACTCTGCTCGCAAAAGACGTCCTCCATCGGCTGCAGCTTTGAGTTGACTTCATGGACCAGCAGTGATGATACATGGGGGAGTGAGTCAGTGGCTACAGTGGCCCACGGCACGAAGATCAGCTGTGTTAAAATGCCTCTTTCTACACCCAACATCGTGGGGAGCACAAAAAAAGTCACAAAGAAAGAGCATTGGGCCCGCACCCCAGAGAGGGCCTCTGCGCCAGCTCCTCGAGCTCGGCCAGGCTCACGTCCGCTGCCGGGATGCCGTGGACCAAAACTTCCTGCTTAGCGCGAACAGGAAGGAACTGGATCGAGGGAAGCAAGGCTTTCGAAAGGCCCGCTCCTTCATGCTGCATCCGGCAGTGTCTTCGTTGTGGCATGTCAGCTTCAGCCACTGCCCGATGATTCTGGGCAGGTTGTGGTAGTTGCGGTAGTCCGCAGACGGCTCCATCTCATCAAACCTTATGCCATAATGCACGAGCCGGGAGAGGAGACATACTTCCGACAAAGAACACGGCAACTGCGTCGTTGTAAGGTTCTACCTGGCCTCTGAATGCATGAAGGGCACACCGGTGCCCAGTTCACACCATCAGAACTGACCTGCGCAAGCCGACAGTTTGGGGGGCTCGAAAGGGGATCGCGATCTGAGCCCTAGAGCAGTCCCATGGGCCTCGAGGCCGTAGCTGGCCGGCACGGCATCGCCCCACAAGACGAGTCCCCCGTGCAACACGTAGCTGCCCAGGAGATCGATCAGGATCCACTCCTTCAGTCTCGGAACCCTCGACTAGAGGCGTTCATGAAAAATCAGGCCTCTGCCTCTTCCTGTGCTGTCGATGTCTACTCCGATGCCGTGCCCGATGAACTCACCGGGGTAGTGCCAATCACGGTGCTGTTTGTACCCGAATCTCATGTTGCTGCTGCCGCTTCTGCTGCTGCACGGAGTTGCCACGACAGGAAACAGACACCTGCGTAAACCCAGCTTTAGCCAACGACGGGCGTAGTACGTCCCGAAAAAGACTCTATCACGACCAAACAAGCAAAAGGAGCGCAAGAAAAGGCACTAACGAAGCTAACAGTCTTATGAAACATAGACCCGGCAACGGCAGGGACACAGAAGTCAGATTCAAACTGATGCGTTGCCACGACAGCATCTGCTCATACCGGATACGGCGGGTATTCATAGCAGCGGCAGCAGCAGCAGCAGGAGGAGCAGTAGTCGTCGACCTTGCTGTCATCGTCGACGGCGGAGTAGTACGAGTAATTGTTGCTGTTGTTTTTGTAGGTGCAGCAGTACGCACGTGCTAGCAGCAGAATGCCAACAGGAGCAGAAAGCAGCCGTGACAGTGCAGAGTGGCCATTGAACCCTGAGTTAAGGGGCAGTAAACCCTATAAACCCTAAACTCTAAACCCTATGGTGACAGCCCGAAAGTTGGAAGATGCGCATCCAAATTCCCCGCACCCCAAAATTCATGGACCCACAATCTTCCAACTTTGCAAATTTTCCAACTTTGGCATCTTCCAACTTTGCAAATCTTCCAACTTTAGCATCTTCCAACTTTGCAAACCAGACCACTTTGGAAAGTGGCAAAGAGCCGAAGAGAATCAAAGTTGGAAGATCCTGAGGAGCGTTTCAGATCTTGCCAGAAGTGCAGGGAATCCTTCTGCAGCAAACGCGCAAAGTTGGAAGAGCCAGTTCCGGACCAACCGTTCCCTTTCCCAGAAGCATGTCTCGCATCCAGAGCAAAACCTGCCAATCTCTCACCACATCCCTCGCCAACTAGCCTTTCTAAAGTTTATTCTTCTTGGCAGGCACTGCGTTTTCTGCGTCGCCAGTCCTCTGCAGTAAGAGCGCGAATCTTGGAACGTGCCTCCGGGAC